GAAATCAGACAAGCTATCCTGCAACTTGCAAAACAGGATGTGCACTTTATTATTTTTATTTCCTCTGTGGTTCCATGATTTTTTAAAAATTCAAGGCACTTATATTTATTATGTAAGTTATTTCTTAATAAGCCTTTTTATTTTGAATTGCATAATACAAATGAATTTTAAAAAGCACCCACAAAATGGATCCTAATAGGTCTGACTTCCACACACTGTTTTTGTAATTTTTAACCATATTGCCAAGTTTTAAACGGTTTAAAACTTATGAACAAAAATAAAAAACTGTTTTTCATATGTGTTGGATGAAGTGTGTCATTCACCAAAGGGTTCCACTAGTCTGGAAAACTAATCAAGTTGTGAATGTTGGACTTCATGTGATAACAGTTATTCAATTAAGATATTCTAAGGCTGTCTGGTTAGCTCAGCTGGTTACAGTGTGGTGTGATAACACCAGGGTCAAGGGTTCAGATTCTCGTACTGGCCAGCAGTCCAAAAAAAAAAAAAAAAAATCTTAAACCAGAGTCTGAAAGCACTGGAAGAAATGACCCCTGACTATACCTTCCCCCACTCTGGTCCCTTAATCCAGGGTGAGAAATGGGGACATCTGGAGAAGGAACCTGTCAGCTGTGACCATAAAGCGATAATGGCCATCCAAGTAACATCCCCAACTTAGAAATGCACCTGAGTGTTCACCTTCCCACAGTGTTAGCAACTCTCAAGACAATCTTCGAACTCCTCACATGAAATGCCTTCTAAGTAAGTTTACTGGTTGAAAGAGATCATCAGTCTTATCTCTTAATAGTTATAAAAAAATCTGGTCAAAAAATATAAAGTACAAATTATTACCCAACTAGTTCAACAAACCTGGGTCCAAATGCCTTTTGGTTATTTCATAAAAGCACATCCACTTTCAAATGCTAAGAATATTCAGAGGGGAAAAAAATGGGCCACAGTCTCTAAGGCCAATAGCTAAAAGTCACAAAAATGTTTTCAGCAATTGGAATAAATGAGTAGCTTCACAAAACGGTTTGGTTTAAAATGAAATCTATGGTTGGATGTCTTTGGGCTTGTTTGTTATCGTACTTTATACTACACCCGTCAGTTATGAGCAGCCCTTTTCCTTTCTTCTCTGGTCCCCTCCACGCTCCACCCGCCTCAGTCCTACCACATTCCTTCCGCACCCTCCTGCTCCCTTGATGCTTCCTGCTCCCTGTTCAGCACCAATCTCATCACCTTCTCCAGACCTTGGTCCTCAAAACAGTTAGGATTCCTAAGAAATGGTAAAGGGTTAAAATTTTATAGTGGCCAACATATTAAAGACACAGTGTGATCTGTGCATGTAGTAAATGTTTCATGAGTCTGAATAATTATTATTCCTGCTCTTTTTCTTTCATATTTCTATCTGAATTCAGAGAGGGGCACTTTTCCCTCCACTCTGTGTTTTTCTTTACAATAGACAGACCTGAGTCCTTAAGACTGGCTTGATCCCAGCCTTTTCATGAGCTCAGGGAAAACAGATGAGTCCCCAAGCAGAGAGGGAAGGAGACCACGTGCCCGGCCCCGCCTCACCTTCACACTCGTTGGTCTGCTCCCACGTGGCCGGCCGCCAGCGCTCAGGGAAAACAGATGAGTCCCCAAGCAGAGAGGGAAGGAGACCACGTGCCCGGCCCCGCCCCACCTTCACACTCGTTGGTCTGCTCCCACGTGGCAGGCCGCCAGCTTGGTCTGCTCCCACGTGGCCGGCCGCCAGCGCCTCTGATTGTACCCCACGCAGCAGCGATCGCACGTCTCCCCGCACGTGTGGTGCTGGCATTCACACCGAAACCTGGGCGTGTGGGCGAAGCACAACTCGGTTACTGACAAGTTTTGATAATAATCAGTTGTTCCTATGTGAAAAGGTGACACGTGAACACAGTCCTCATGGGCATCCATAGACTAATGACTGGGTAATGATGAGAACAAAGCATTTTGCACGTATAATTTCCAAGTCCCTTTACACATGGTGAAAGTAAGGTTCAGAGGGACTGAGATTCTTGTCGTAAGTCAAGTGGTAAGAAATAGCCAGATTTCAAACCTAAGCTGGACACCGAAGCCTCAGCTACATTATGTTACAAGAAATGAACAGATGAGCAAGCGAGTGCTGAGTTTACTGAGATACGTTAAGTATCCCATCTTCACAAAGATCGGGAGCCCTGTGAGAAAGGTCTGCTCAAGTTTCTTCCTCTCAACCTGGGGCTATGCACAAAGATGTACCAAATCAAAGAGACTGATAAGATCTCGGAGGACCCTGTTCCCAGAGGCTGTGCCAGTTCCATCGCAAGGCCAAAAGCTTATCACTCAGCCAGGCAAAGGGCTAAAAATCTAAGATTCCAAGCTCAAAGGAGTATACGTCTGTCTTAAAATTTTTCTAAGTTAAAATGAAATTGCCGTAGCCTTGGCATTGTATTAGAACTACAAGCTTTGAGCTCTAATCCATCTGAGCTTGAAAGAGGATTTAAACAGTTGTCTAAGAAGGCTCTCAGCTAGGCCTGTGGGGATTCCTTCAACTCTTCTCTAGTGGGACATGGGATGGCATATATTCAGTTACGCTCCTAAGAGAAGGTGTCAGCCTTCTCCCCGCTCATCTGCCTGTTAAACACATGGGCATAGATTTAACTGGCAGCATAGAACAGCTGGAGTCCAAATGGGCTCTTGACAGACAGGCAATTTCAGCTCACTGCTAATGAAATATTTGGCATAGAGCTTTAAGAAGGCTGGTTTAAGAACATATAGTCCAACTATACTCATGGAGGATTAAGATGGAGCACAGCAAAAAAAGGAGGTGGGTTCCTGACTGAGTCGTATTGACACCCCCAAATCATTGCTTTTCCTGACTCTTTCTCAGCCCAGACTGATGGTTGATATAGAAAATCTGTCCTACGTCTGCTGTAAAGATGTTATTAAAGATGTTGCTGATAAGAGAATCTTCTCCATTATGACCACCTTACTCCACCCCCAGAGAAAAACTCTTATCTGGTCCTAGCGTCAGCAATCATGTTCCCCTAAGCAACTGATTACTTTTTAGGTTATGATCATATTGAAATATGAAGCTGAACAGGTTTCCCTTTTTGAATTGCCTGCTAGGAAGCTCAGAATCCATGTGTGATCCCTTCATCTATCCATACATCAATGTCAGCATGGTGTGCATGCCTGGTTAAAGCCATCTTCTGTCTCTTCCTGAGTTCTGCCTGATTAGCAACTAACTTTTCCAATTTGTCCAGCCTTTGTTCCCTCCATGAACTCAGTGAATCCCTTTAAATATTAAGATTTTTTTTGTTCATGGATGTGGATCTCATCAGCATTTGTTCAAGGTCAGCCTATTGGGCAGAAGCAAACCTGCAGGCAGGGGAAGGCAAGGTAGTTGTGGTAGAGTGGTCCAGCAGCAAACTGAGCTTTTCACCAAGGCCTGGGGGGATAGCCTCTCCACTCACATGTACTGGGAGCAGTTAGCCACCCAGTACAGAACTCCTCCAGGTCTGCCAGGGTCAATAGGATTTGCCAGCCCTTCTAAGCGGGAAGCTCAGCCCCTCTCTAATGGCTTCTCCTTCTTCCCTACATGGTGCCATTTTGTCCCAGACTTAGGGACACTAGACATATCTCTTCTCTCCCCTCCCTCTAACTAAGGACTTATCTAACCTGACCTCTAGTGTCTTAGGGCCCTACTCTCCAGGAGGCTACATGGTGGAGATAGATTGATCATTGGTAAACAAGCCCTTGTCAATTAAAAGTTAATCGGTTGTTGTGTGAGCTCCCTCATTAGCACCACCTGCTCCCTGAAGGAGGGACAACAACGTTAGGGATTGTCACTGGTCAGAGAAGGGCTTCACAAAGCACACCATGTAAGTTGGTAGCTAACAATTACGCTTGAACACAGAGCCAGGCCTAAAGATGTACTAACCTGAATCTGACTAAAAGTAAAATATATTTCTGGTAAATGCTGCTCATTGGGGAATTGCAGACTTCAAATAAAACATTGAGAGAAAATTATTACTATATTCAGTCATTTCCAGCTCTTAAAAGTATCCCTCTTACAGTAACAACCTGACACATTGCTGAACACTTAACATTTAAGATTTATGCATCTTAGTGTATGCAAAATATACCTCAATTAAAAACAAAAAGGGTACATTCACATTCATAGCAGCATTATTCACATAGCCAAAAGGTGGAAGCAACCTAAGTGTCCCTCCATGGATGAATGGATAAACAAAATGTGGTATTTACATACAATAAAATATTATGCATCTTTAAAAGGGAAGGCAATCCTGGCACATGCTCAAAATGGATAAATCTTGAGGATATTATGCTAAATGAAATAAGCCAGTCACAAAAGGACAAATTCTATACGATTTTGTTTATATGAGGTACCTCAAATATTCAAGACAAAAAATAGTATAGTGGCTTCTAGGGAGTGGGGGTGGGAGGAATAGGGAGTTGTTTCATGGGCATAGAGTTTAAATTCTGCACGATAAAAAGAGCTCTGGAGACTGGTTGCACAACAGTGTGAATGTACTTAACACTACTGAACCACACACTTTAAAATGGTTAAGATGGTAAATTTTATGTTACTCATATTTTACCACAATTTTTAAAAAATGAAAAGGATTTGAAATGCATATCCCCGATCCCATTAAACCAGGAATGACAAACAAGTTTTATCTCTCTTGCCAACTCTAATCAATCGTTAGTGTTGGGGGGGAATTGGCGGCTGCCTCCCAGATCATCCAGGGAGTACTACGATTGATTAGCAATGTCTGCTACAGGCCCACTAGGGGCATGTGGGAGAAATAGAAGAGCTGGAGGAGGGGAGGCACGCACACCTCCTCCTTGTTGAGCCTGAAACATTCCTGTTGAGGGCAGAAACGTAGATACATATAGTGGGGTGCAAACATCCACTGAACCAATTAGACTTATGCACAGCAAAGCTAAAAAAGTCTGCACAATATACTCACAGGTTTTCAGGATTATTTGCATTGCACACTGCAGCGTGGCCATGGCAGACACACCGCCCACCAATGCTGATATCCTTTATGCTGTAATAATACTGGACAAAAGAAAACAGAATGCGTCAGCTTTGCTAAATAGCCACATGAACGTTCTCTTACTAATCTTTCCCCACATCTGTCTTGACTCTGCTATACTCTCGAGCCACTTCCCCTTGCCTACCTCAGCATGAAAGGAAGCGACATTTTGATGTAACTTATCTTACAAAATAAATGCCTTCCTCAATCAAGTGGAGTAACATACTGCCAGATTTGTCCATTTAAAAAAACCAAATGCTTTAAATGCATGGAGGGAATTCCCTTAGAAAAATATCATAATCTGTAGCCTAGTGCAAAGAGATTAGTGCTTCCAAGTTTAAATTTTTATGTAAATCTGGATTTTATAAACTGAACATATTTACTTACCAAAATAAATTTCTGTGCTAAAAATTTTGCATCTACTATGAGCAAAATACTGTCCCAGGCTCCAGAACGGGAGAGAATATTTACAAGGATGGATCAGATACAGCCTTGAGACTGGCAGGGTCCAGCAGCAGTTGCTGTAGTCTTGCTAGCTCAAGGTCAAAAAGGCCAAAGTCAGAGATCCTAGCTCCAAAAAGGCCAGACAGAGCCAGCTTCAGACCCAGCAGAGGATCAGCCCCTAAACCAGGCCAGAAATACACATAGGCCATCTCACAGACAGGTCACCTCTCCAGTATGCTGGAGGCCTTTCCACTATGCACAACAGGTGGCCTCTTCTCCAGCTTCCTTCCATCTCAGATCTGGCAGGAGACTGCACAGGATTTCTGAGGAATGTGGGGGCTGGAGAACAATCTTTCTCGTTGAGGCCGTGCTGTCAGTAGGAAGAATACTTGTCAGCAAGGAAGTCTGAATTCCCAAGGACAAAAGGGTTTTTGTATCTTTCTCAGTGTTGTTTTTGAGTGTAGTCACCCAAAAGAGTCCTCTTTATTCAAATGTTGGGGTTCTGTTCTGGTTCCCTGGTTAAAAACTTTAAAAGTGTCAATGCTTCTTGGCAACGTCTTACTTAATGTGAAGGTATTCACAACCCCTCTTGTTAATACTGGATAAAGTCAGTATGACCAGGGCTTTCTTTTTTTTTTTTTCCTTTTTGTCTTTTTTACCGACCCATAACGGGATCGCAACCCTCGGTGTTGCGCCCACACCGTGCTCAGCCAGTGAGCAGGAACCGGTCTCCACATGGGATCCGAACCCTCGGCGGGAGCGCACCACTGCACTCCCAAGCGGCGCACTCTCCAGTGCGCCACCGGGCCGACCCATGACCAGGGCTTTCTGTGACAAGTTAACATGCAGTGGCTTTCGTGCTGACTGCCATAGAAGTTTCTGTCCACGTGTGTTAGGGGTGGCAACAGCAAGAGAGAGAAGCACTGGATCACCTTCACCTGGCAGCGCATGTAATCTGTGTGATAGGATAGCTGGAGTCATATTTCTTCATTCAAGAAGCATCCTAGATTTGGAGGTCAAGATTATACACGTGGTACACTCCACAAAAAATTACTTAATGGGGAAACCTACATTCACCTAAGTGAAAAGAAATATACATAGATATGAGTGTGAATCTTGCAACCCACTAAAAGACAATTTAAGAAAAGAAAAAAGGTGATGAGGTACATTTGTGGCAAGAATCTAGAGCACCTGGAGGAATGGAAACACAGCCTAGCTGCAGCTTATCAGAAAGCCCAGCTCTCCCTTGTAAATATCCATCCTCAGATCCAACATAGTCCCCATCTCCACAGCAGCTCAGAGAGTGCTAAGGGGGCAGAAAATGCAGAAAATGGGCCACCTACACCCACGGTGCCTGGCCTTTCTGGAAAATGTTCAGAACTGGAGCAATACTTATGTTTTTTTTCTCTCTCTTCCTTTTCCAGCTCTCTGATATTACCTACATAAAAAGCCAAACTCTATAAGGTGCAGCAGGCATCTTCCATTCACCCTTCCGGGTCCACTCTCCACCTTTCTCCACCCTGACCTTTGCCCTGGGGCTGAACTTTATGGGCTGCAACCATGGGCTCTCTTGTCCTCTGGCTTCCTGTTGGGTTTGGCCAATGAGAGGCACTGGCAGGAGATCAGAGGGTGGGAGAAGAGTGAGCTCAGGGTATTCTGCTGGCCCCCTCTGTGCCAAGGAGACAGGGGTACTGCCCTGACACCAGGCAGTGAGAGGGGTTCAGGGTGTATATCCAGCACAGTACAGGTGCTCACCAATGTCCATGTTCTCCTCTTTTTCAGCTAGATGACATTATGCAGCCTCCTTGCATCTAGGTGAAGCTATAATATGGCCAATTCTCGCCAGTGAAAGTGACCTATATGGTTAGGAGTGGGTGGATCTTCTCACACTCTTTCTTCTCTCATCTGCTGACCAGATATAGGGTATCCAGAGGAGGATTCTGAGGTCCCACAGGATGGCTCCACCTTTAGATGGAAAGATCCTGGTTCCCTGAATGACTGTGTGGAACCAATCTCACCACATAGGACTGTGACATGAGCAAGAAATAAGCCTCTATTTTGTTAAGCCTCTGAGATTGGAGATTTGGGGTTATAATAATTCCCTGAATGACTGTGTGGAACCAATCTCACCACATAGGACTGTGACATGAGCAAGAAATAAACCTCTATTTTGTTAAGCCTCTGAGATTGGAGATTTGGGGTTATAATAATAGTTAGCCCATCCAGACTAATATCAGTCTGACAATAATCTTGCCTTCCATCCTCTTTGAATATAATGGTTTTTCTTCAAACAGCCAAACTTCTAATTATATCTAGTATTTCAGACAAGAACCACCCTCATGCCTACACCATTACTGGCTGTAAAGTTTACTTAAAAGAGTTCAAGGCAATTAATTTGATAAGCAAAAAAAGTAACAAATACTGCTGACCAGGCATTTGAAAAACACTACTCACCCGCCGAGTAACAGTTGGATCTCGCTGTGCTTTGGAGATGAGGTGTCCAAGAAGAGTGTTGGTTCTGAGAAAACGCAAGCGGATGTTTGTTGCTTTGGTAAATTCCCTCAGGGTGTGAGAGAAAGTAAAATTTTTTGCACCTGGACGCCGATTTATCAAGGACACCACAACCTAAAATAATCACATGCATATAAAGAGGAAAAAAGTCTTTTCATCAAAATTCAGTAGCAAGTAACTAAAAATAACTCACATGCCCCAAAGCATTTGGTTTCTTTGAGCCATGAAATGTTTGTAGGTGGTCTTGGATCTTGTTTATGTCTAAAAAGATCACTGCTAGTTCCATCTCCCTTCCCCCCTCCTGGTTCCAAGTTCTGGCAATATGTCCTTGAAATCTGGGCTCTCAAGAGATGTTACCATTTCATTTTCAAACCTTTTTTTCTATCAGTGTAGTTGTAGGGCTGTGGCACACTATGAAATATCAAAGATATAATGTTAAAATCTGTAAATATAAGGAAAAAACTTTGTCACGCTACATAAAAGAAACAAAGCTAAAGTAATTTAAAAATCTAAATGAGGTGGAAAACAGGAAGTCTCTGGATATAAAGTTGGCAGCAATGGAGGCAAAAAAAGAAATATCTATACAAAACTTGGGTTCTGTTTTAAAGTCCAAGTCTCAATCCTTTGAAACGTGAGCCACTCACCAGGCATCAGAAGATACTGGATATAGCTGCTCAAGTAAGATCTCTCTACTTAAAGAGAGGGAGACTGATGCCCTTTAAAAAAGTTTACTTGAAACTCGGTTCATATTCATTATGGCTTCACAATTTCATGGAATTCTCTGATTTTCCCCACTTCTGATTGCCCACCTCCTAACAGCCAGACTGACTTTGCAAGGGCCAAATGCAACCCCAAAGGGACAGCAACATTTTGCTTCCCAACAGATTACGCCCACCCAGCCAAGAGAGATCAGGAGTTAATGCTGCCACCCACCCCTCATCTCCTCTCTCTTGCTGGGGATAACGTGAAGAGGTGGGAGAGGTAATCACTTCAGTCACCAGCAACTCACTTTCTAAATTTACCTCCAAATAGGAGAGTACAAGACCTGTGGGCCTGGAATTCCAAATCCTGACTTTCTGGGGAGAGGTCAAGACCCCAAACAGAATTACCAACCCAATCTATCCTGGGAGTCCTTGAATCAATTCCTTTACTGTTTAGTCCCAAGCACTGGTTTCCATCTGGATCGATGTTAAATCGTTTTGAAAGTATAAGCTTCATGATTATGAAAAATTTTACATCCTCATGTTCATCTCTGAGTCTTATCTCTCACAGCCTCCCAAATCTACTTACCTCACCATTTTCCAAAGGTACAATATGGGAATATTCAGTAACACAAAGTACATCGTCATCCTGGGTGATAGCCACATTTGCCTCCTGCCCAAATTGTTCCAAACAGTCTCCTTTAGAATCTAGGAAGAAAATATTTTAATATTATAAAATAAAATATTTTCATTGTGTTGTAAATCTCCTAAGAAGCCTTGTGTTTCCTTAAGAAAATACATGAAAAGAGAAAGAACGGAGAAGGATTTAAGAGTTTTAGACAAAAGCTTAGAATAAAGTTTTTAATTCGTGAATGAAAATACCAAGCCATTTCAGGCCACTTGACTTCCGGCAGCAATGTTTGCAGCTGTGATGCTAACGCCTCATGCCTCATTAAGTGAGTTTACCCTCTAAGGAGCCTTATGGAAAACCCAGTGCTTTTGTAAGCAAAATTCCTATCCATCTCAACTCATCATAGGGTTCAGAGACACTAATATTCTTCATTAGTGAAAATAACAGGGTCAAGGTAAGTAATGCACAATGCAGGACCCATAAAGATGGAACGTGGCTCCTAATTCTACGTATAAGGAAAAGGACTGGTGCTGTGGCCCAGTTATAGGTACACTGCTTCCCCCCACTGTTATCATGAAAGAAGTTGCAATCTCAGTTGTTCATGTGGTATCCTTGGAATTATTGAAGACATCCCATACTTGAGAAACGGAGATGTTCTGAGAATTATTTAGGAGGTTAAAATTACCAGTCCCTAACTAGCCATACTGAGAGTCTAATTTTCTAATTAAATCCATAGTCTTGATCTGTTGCAAATATTCAAAGCCCCTCATAATATGGTAGGCAAGATTACTTACGAGCAAAATATTGCCATGGTGAGTAGGTGTTTCCAAAGTCCACAGATCTTTCCAAAACCCAAAGATCAGGGCGAGGAGAATTTGCAAATTTGATTAAAACATAGGCCACATGGAATAGCTGATAAAGCAAAAAGAGACACAGTTATTAAAGTCACCTAATCTAGCCACAGCTTTGACCGTCTCTATATGATGCCAATTCCCAAAGCAACACGTCCAGCCACAACTCCTCTCCCAAGACCCAGATCCTTATTTCTAAGTGCCTATTGTAAAGCAAAAAGAGACACAGTTATTAAAGTCACCTAATCTAGCCACAGCTTTGACCGTCTCTGTATGATGCCAATTCCCAAAGCAACACGTCCAGCCACAACTCCTCTCCCAAGACCCAGATCCTTATTTCTAAGTGCCTATTAGACACCCCTACCTGGGTGCAGCCTCTAAAGCTCATTATTTTCCAACCAAAATGATTATCTTTGGGCCGAGCCCGTGGCGCACTCGGGAGAGTGCAGCGCTGGGAGCGCAGCGACACTCCCGCCGCAGGTTAGGATCCTATATAGGAATGGCCAGTGCGCTCACTGGCTGAGTGCAGGAAATGATTATCTTTGGGCCGAGCCCGTGGCGCACTCGGGAGAGTGCAGCGCTGGGAGCGCAGTGACACTCCCACCGCAGGTTCGGATCCTATATAGGAATGGCTGGTGCACTCACTGGCTGAGCGTAGTGTGGGCGACACCACACCAAGGGTTGCAAAAAAAAAAAAAGACAAAATGATTATCTTTCTTTCCACACCAAATAAACAAATTGATCACCATTTTATCACACCTCAACCAACATGCCCTTGAATTTCAACCAGACTACATGGCATCTTAAAGTCCATACACTCAGAGAAGTCTGATAGCAAGCAATGGTAATTGTGTCCTAAGCCCTTCCAGGACCAAGAGCCAATGGTCCAGCCCAGAGCATCTCCAGGGTGTGTCATAACCCCGGGTTTCAGGCGTTGGAGATCTGAGACCTGAGCTGTGTTTGCAGGGGTGGTAGAACCTCCTTTCCTGTGCCATCTCCACTGGTCTCTTCTTTTACCAATTTGGTCTCCCTCATTAATTTTTTTTTCACCTGGCCAGGATGATGCAATATGAAAGAGACAAAGTGGGGCTTTGGTCCTGCTTTCTTTGCCTCCCACTCTTGAACCCCGAGTGTCTCCCATGGGGACCCCAGGATCTCCTTGCAGTTTATTCCCGTCCCCTTCCATCAAAACTTATCTGGCTTGAATTTTAAACCCTGAGGTTCTATATATTTCCCAAAGAGCCTGATAGGACAATGAATACAGGTGTTAAACAAATGTGTGTTAACATGTTTATAAGCGAGGATTATTCCCATGTCCCAATTCCCCTGGCCCTCAGGTAACAAATTTATCAGTGACTTTCTGAGGAACCCCGTCCCCCCCCCACACACACCTATTAACTATTCTGCTACAGCCATTTGAACAGTGAGCTTGTCTAGTCAGGGAGGGAGCACCTCAGACCCCGTGGATTTTTTCTTGCCTAGAAAAAAAAAGGGGGGGAGTTTCATCATAATATTTTTCACATATGATAGTATGGTAAGAGTCACGCATTAAAAAAAAAGAAAAGAAAAAAGACAAAGAAAGGTCTGAGAACTACTACCTAATATAAACATTCTAAACCCCAAACTAGAAATCAAAATCTCTAGGACAATGGTCCTCAACTTTTTGGTCTCCAGACTCCCTTACACTTTTAAAAACTATCAAGGACTCCAAAAAGCTTTTGTTTATGTGTGTTCCATCTATTAATATGCTCCATATTAAAATTAAAGTTGAGAAAATTTTGCCCCTCTGCCCAGAAGCAGGCAAGAGAGCACACCTTGGGTTCTAGGCAGGAGCCAAGGGCAGTACCCCACTGCCAAAAAGCAGGCAAGAGAGCATGCCAACAATACCACTTCCATGTGGGGGGCCCACCACAGCCACGGCTGCCAAAACTGTGGCACAACACCACAGCAGCAGCCACAGTGACTGTGCAGGTGGCCCACTGGACACTCAACTGCATTGATACAAGGAGAGTCAACAGTGGAGACCAGAAAAAGATGTATCTCACCTCACCTCAAAGCCCACTCCAGAGTAATAGAAGGAGCAACTGCTCTATCAGATGATCAGACATCAACATAGAGATATTAGAAATACAAAAACCCAAGAAAATATGACAGCACCAAAGAATACAGTGATTCTCAAATACTAGACCCTATAGAGCAGGAAATCCTTGAAATGACTGAAAAGGAATTCCGGGCAACAATCTTAAGGAAACTCACAGAGATATGAGAAGACTCATACAACATAATGAAATAAGAAAAACAATCTAGGATATGAAGGAAGAAATTTACAAGGAAATTAATACCTTAAAAAAGAGTTTAGCAGAACTCGTGGAACTGAAAGATTCCTTTAATGAAATAAAAAACACAACTGATAGCTTAAGCAGTAGGCTAGAACAAGCACACAAAAGAATTTCTGATTTTGAAAAGAGTCTTTTCTTTTCTTATTTTTTTTTCTTCCTTTTTGTCTTTTTTCGTGACCGGCAACAGATCGCAACCCTCAGTGTCACGCCCGTACCGGACTGGGACCGGCAACGGGATCGCAACCCTTGGTGTTGCTCCCGCAACTCGCTCAGCCAGTGAGCGGCCGGTCTCTATGTGGGATCCGTACCCTCGGCAGGAGCGCCACCACACTCCCAAGCAGTGCACTGTAGCAGTGCGGCCGCCACACTCCCAAGCAGCGCACTGTAGCAGTGCACCACCGGGCCGGCCCGAAAAGAGTCTTTTCTAAATAAACCAGGCAGACAAAAAAAAAAAGGGAAAAAAGAATTTTTAAAAATGAAGACAATCTAAGAGACTACCTTAAGTGCACAAACATTTGAATCATAGGTGTTCCAGAAGGGGAGGAGAAAGGAAAAGGCATGGAAAACCTATTCAACTAAATAATAATAGAAAAATTTCCAGGTATGGGGAGAGACATGCACCTTCAGATCCAGGAGGCTAAAAGATCCCCAAGCAGATTCAACCCAAAAAGTCCTCTCCAAGACACGTTATAGTCAAACTGGCAAAGCTCAAAGACAAAGAGAGAATCTTAAAAGAAGCAAGAGAAAAGCATCAAGTCACCTATAAGGGAGCCCCTATCAGACTAACAGCAGACTTCTCAACAGAAACTCTACAGGCCAGAAGAAAATGGGTGATATAGGGCCGGCCCGGTGGCACACTGGAGAGTGCACCGCTTGGGAGCACGGCGGCGCTCCCGCCGAGGGTTCGGATCCCATGTGGAGACCGGTTCCCGCTCACTGGCTGAGCACGGTGCGGGCGCAACACCGAGGGTTGTGATCCCGTTGCCGGTCTCCGGTACGGGCGCGACACCGAGGGTTGCGATCCCGTTACCGGTCAGCAAAAAAGACAAAAAAAAAAAAAAAAAAAAAAAA